GGATGCAAAACAGCCTGCTGGCTCATCTGAGGCACACTGGGTGGATGCAAAACTGTCTGCTTGCTCTCCTTAGGCACACTGGGTGGATGCAAAACTGTCTGCTGGCTCACCTGAGGCACACTGGGTGGATGCAAAACTGTCTGCTTGCTCTCCTGAGGCACACTGGGTGGATGCACCTGAGGCTGATGCAGTGCTGGCTTACCAACATGCTCTGACAACTCTGGCTTCTGGGGCTGCTTTACCTGGCAGCTCAGGGTTGGGCAAGGCCGGCAGGCAGACTGCTCCTTGTGCGGGCAGGGCCGGCAGCTAGGCCCCTGGGGTGGACAGGGTCGGCATGAAGGCTGCTTATTGGGTAGGCAGGAAGTTTTTAGTTGTTGTTGGGGCACCTGTGACTGCTTTGGTTTGCGCTGACGTGGTTGAGATGCCCGTGGATTTGGTAGGGGCTGAACATCAGGCTTTGGTTCTTTGGACACAGAGCCATTCTGTTTTAGGGTTTCAGATTCAGGGTGATACTGGTTAGTGGAGGACATAGTTGTGTTGTGGCTTTTTGCATTCAAGGTTGAGGTATGATTTCCAAATGTCTCACTACCATGCAAAGTGTCATTCCCAGAGTTAAGACTACTTAAATCCAATCGATCATCTGCAACAGGCACCTTCTGATCTGCATGATTTTCAAAAGGGACAGTGTTATAGGCTTTTAAGCAAAAATTTAAGTCTACAAAATGCAATGGTGTGTTTGCTTACCATTTGCTTGAGGTCCTCCCACAACTAACAAAAACAGCATCCACCATCTAGACAAAATACCATTGCCAACGCGCCAAACTGTGTTTAAAAGGTACCGCATCCGCATCTGCCAACGGAATGAGTCGCCACCAAAAAAACAAAACAAAACACAAAATTACTCTTGCAAAGATAAAAAATAAATAAATAATAATAATACACATCTCTCCATAACACAATGGAGCCCGAAAGAAAAAGAAATGTTTCTGCTGTGTGGAATCATTTTGATCTTTTAACTGCAAATAAGGTAATAGTTTGTCTTTGTTTCAGTGTAACCTATCAGAATAGAAAAAAAAACAACAAAAAAAAAACAGCCATGTGACTTGAAGTGTAAATTATTCATTTCATTTTATGCAGGTTAAATGTCGCATCTGTTCTGCGGAGGATAAACCTATTTTTCTGAATAGAAATTTATAATAAACTGAGTCAAATGGGTAATATTACATTCACAATACTTTCATTTTAATTTTCACTTAATGTCATTCATAATATATTTTAAAGATGTCTACAATATTTGCAATATAGAAAATATAAAATGATTCCATGGAAAGTACAATACCTTACAGTGTATACAGTGCATATAAGTATGACTAGGTCATTGAATCAGTGTCTGTTGTGAGTCTCAAGTAAGTTGCCTGCAATGATATTTAAGGTCCAGCAGGTGTCAGTATGGAGCAAAACAGTCGACACAGTGTCGATACAGTTTGGGGAATGTGCTGAAACGCTTCACGAGGCCTCATCTACCCATCACTAGTAAAAACAGTTTTAAAAGCTTACCTTAATAAAAAACTCATGGTCTCAGCTGCAGGAAGCAGCAAACTCTGCCACTTCTCTCAGCTGCTACCAAATCAAGAAGCTGAAAAACACAGCAAGGCCAGTGCAGCCCTTTTAAAAATGTTTCCTCTCTGTCATGGGTGGTTAATTGGACTCAGGTGTGATTGTTTGTATGCAGGTGTAGCTAATTAGGAAACACTGTGGCCAACAGTAATGTTTTAATCTTCTTCATTATTCAACATTTGCACATAAATAAGTGACATATTATTCAGTACTTTTAAAAGTTTTCGGCAAAATTATCCACGCCCACTGCTGCACTATGAAGTCTACACCGTCACATCCTTAAAATTCAGGGAAATCAAGGACGCATTTGTGGCTGCATTTCGAGCAGCCTTTGAATTGGGACAGCCTCGCTGTCGCTGTGACGTAATCGGCCTTAAAATGCGGCTTTAAGGCTGCAGACCCTGAATTGGGATACAGCCATATTCTACTGTTTTACATGGTGCTGTATGCAATACATTTTGGTTTTTTTTGTAAAGCATAATAGGTCAGGCTGGGCCAGTTCCTATGTATTTAACAGTTCTATCACTGATACTTTATTCTGTTTATTTATAGTCAATTACTAGTTTTTGGTCACTATTATTCTGGTATTTATTGTTATAAACTGTGTTTTAACTAGTTCTTGTTGTTTGGGGGCCCTTAAAAATGAATTATTTCTTGACCTATCTGAATCAGCTGTCTTAGGAACAGTTCTGTTTACGTTATATGTGCTTGCTTTAGGCAGTATTATTAGGATGCATAGTATACATTTTCACTGCTCTGCAGATGACACCCAATTTTATCTAGAAGCCAGATAACGCAAACCATTTAGATAAGCTGTAGGTATGTCTTAAAGACAAAGACGTCAATCACGTCTAACTTTCTGCTTCTTAATTCAGATAAAACTGAGGTTATTGTATTCTGTCCTGAATATCTTAGAAATATGGTATCTAACCAGATTCTTACTCTGGATGGCATTACCTTGGCCTCCAGTAACACTGTGAGGAACCTTGGAGTGAAGTTTGACCAGGACATGTCCTTCAATGCACATATTAAACAATTATGACTGCTTTCTTCCATTTGCACAACATCTCTAAAGTTAAAACTGTCCCATCTCAGAGTGACACTGAAAAACTAGTTCATGCATTTATTACTTCTGGGGTGGACTACTGAAATTTATGATTATCAGGATGTAAGAAAAAAACCAAAAATCTCCCTTAAAAGCCTTCAGTTTATCCAAAACCCACAGCAAGAGCACTGATACGGTCTAGAAAGATCAAATTTTTCTCTTCCTTGCCTCGCTGGTCTTGAATAATCACCCCCCCCCATATCTTATCTTAAAGACCTTATAGTACTGCATCACTCCAATAGAGCACGTGTGTGATTCCCACTATCAGTGAGTTTCTATCCTCAGGCCAAGTCCTACGACCTTATATCCCATTCCAGAACTTTCACTGTCATATCTGATTTGTTATATCAAACGCTGCTACACCGTTTGTTTATATTACCCTGCTCGCTGTTGTACATTACACTGGTCACTCTACTTGCATTGCTCTGTCAATAAATTGCCATGCTAATAAGGCAGAAAGCACTTTAACATTCCATTTGCACAATGTACATTTCCAGAGTTTAACCTTACTTATTGTTTAAGTCTTGATCAAAGGAGCAGTTCAGAACATTTCATTGTGTGTTGTACTTGTATGACAATGTGACAAAGACTCTTGTGGTTCCTGGAGTATTCAAAAGTAGGACAGGAGGCAGAGTCTTCAGCTGTCAGGCGCATCTTCTGTGGAACCACTTTCAAATTTGGATTTAGGAGACAGACACCATCTCTACTTTCAAAAATAGGCTTAAAACGTCTGTTAAAGCATATAGTTGGGGCTGGATCAGGTGAACCAAAAACCTCCCTTTGTTACGCTGCAATAGTTTCTGGGGGATTCCCATGATGCACCAAGTATTTTAAGTCACCTTTCACACTGTGTTTATAAACCACTCCGTATTTAATCCTTAGTAATTATCTTTGGGGAGAGCTCTTCCACAGCATCTCTTATCTGCAGTGTAAAATTTCAATCTGCTTTGTATACAAGTTTCTACAAATTGTAACTCTTAACAGAAGGAAAGCATTGTGTTGGCATCATACACACATCTTGTCAAACTTTATTACCAAATCATTCAGTAAATGCTTAGAGAGTCAAGATGAAAGTTATTTTAATTGGGAAGGTCCGTACAACGATGCAGAAAGCTCAACATTGCTGTGCCTAAGAGAAAACATTCATGAATAAAGGCCATTGAAAACCAGTTATCTCATTAATCGTTTTCCATGACCATTGGTCCCTTTGTGTGGCTATTACATTAGCACCACGTTCTGTGCCTGAAAGAAATAAATCCCACTTAAAATTCACTCCTGTTACTCAGCCAGTAAGAAGAGCTCACCCAGATGAAGGTTGAGCAGAAATTGGACTGTTTAAAAAGTTTAACTTTCTAGAAGTAACTCACCTGGTGGGGATACTGGAGTTGCTTGCCTGGATAGACCAATAACTTTCCCCCTGTAGATGGGCAAGACAGTCATGTAGTGTGGACGCTTGGACTGGTAGTAAGGCTGGTAGTGTGGCAATTTTGCATGGTACTGAGGCATCTGGAGTGAGTATAGTGGCCACTTGGCCTGATAGTGAGGTCTCTGAAGCTGGTAAAGTGGACGGTCAGGCCACTGAGGCCACTGGGGCAGGAAACCAGGCAGCCTGAGTGGAGAACCAGGCCGGTGGGACACCAGAGGCTCCTTGGATTGGCAGAAGTGCTTGGGCGGGCAGGAAGGCTTCCACTTTGGCTGGGTTGCCCAAGATAGGGAGTCAACCTGCTGTCTGGGAAGCTGTGGTGCACTGGTGAACTGCTGGGCCTTCTGGGGAAAGCACAAAGCCTTTGAGCTGTGCCAGCATACATGCTGAATGGGTGCCTGAGGTTTATGCTGCTGCCGGGGGACCCGTGACTGCAAACCAGACTTCACTACCTGTGACATTTGATGATGTGCATAAAACTAGTTATCAGGCAGAGACTTGCACGGTTAGATTCACTGTTGTGCCAGGATCACTTGCCTTTGCATTCAGGGTTAAAGTATGAGCAGCATTTGACTCGCTGCGCCATGAAGCATTCACTCTGGGGTAACGACTACCTGAATCTGGTTGGTATCCAGCAAAAAGCAGTTTGTTAACCTTTAAGAATATTTAATCTATGCAATTAACCAGTGATGCAATTTAACTTGCTTACCGTTTGCTTGATGACTTCCAACAGTGAGAAGTAACAACAACAGCCAACTAAAGAAAACAAGTGTCTATAAGCTCTAACTGAAAACTTTTAGCTTCATAGAAACCTATTTAGTACTTGCCTTAATGAAAACCTCATTGCTTCAGCAGCAAGAACCCACAAACCCAGCAGCTACTGCTGTCAGCTGCTACCAAACCAGGAGACCAGCAAAAGAACCTGAGCTCTCGAAAAGGTTTACCCTTTATCTTGTTGATTAGGTGACCACAGGTGTTTCTACTTCAGAGCAGATTAAGCTCACTATGACACCAGGAAAGGACCTTGAGGTATTTTGCAACTCTTTGCAAATCATTTTCAGCAGCTTCCATTGTGCAGATGCTGTTCAGATGACTTAAATGTGAAAAACCTGCAGCTGAATTTGTTGGAGCTGCTGATTGGTTTAGATGTTTGTTCTTAAAGAAGCCTAAATATTTTCACTGGATTTCCAAATAGTATGAGTTTAAATTATGATGGTTAATTCTGCTAAATTAATACATGTGCAGCTGACAGAAGTATTCCGCCATTGGCTTTGTCTATATCAACATGATTTCTATCAATAAAATCATTGCAAAGTTTGGAAATTCCTTTGCTACAAACATTAAAAAGTAGGTTTAGCTTAACAAACATAAACAACACATTAAATAAGTGTACTAGTCTAAAAATCTCCTTTATTTCATTTATTGCAAAAGTTTAAGAATATCATATAGCTTAGAAAAGACAGCCTGCTCACTTTACAGGTTACCACAGCTGATTGTGGGGCGACCGTGGCTCAGGGGGTTGGGAAGCGCATCTGTAACCGGAAGGTTACAGATACGGAGTAGTGCTCCCTCTAGTGGAAGGGATTGTAAAAGTTGCATTATTAGAGTTACAATAAAGTTTACTGAAGCAGAAAGCACCAACGTCTAAGAAAAAAAAAACCCTGTGAACTTTGCACACTCCTAGAAAACACATTGAAACACAATAAAGGTCTGCCAGGTGAACAGTATCTACTTTGATCCAATGTTTTAAAGAAAACAAGTTAGAAGCAGTTCTTAGCCTTCTGAGTGTAATGGAGTAGATGTGCTGTGGAATGGATATGTTCAATGGAAATGTTGCAAAAACCCTTTTGGGGCACACATTATGCTGGCAGCCTTTGTCAAAGATGGTGTAACAATATAGGGGATGATATTTAGTTTAGCTTAACGCTAAACTAGATATTGAGCTTTTCAACAAATAAATAGACACGTATAGCAAAATAATTATAGCAGTAGCTGTATTTTACTTTGAAAGGTCAGAACAGTGTTTCAATGTTGCAGTGCCTAAAACAGAAATCGTGAGTTCAGTAAAGTAACATCTAAACTCTTGGATGATCTGAGAGGTTTCATTAGATAACCTTCCCCATTGTTTCTCTTAGTGTTGCTGCCTCATGCTTATTAGCTGCTGCGCCGGAAAGAAATTCATGTTAAACACAAAAGTCCCCCGATGTTGCCCTGCCTACTTTTGTAACGTCCTAGCGGAGACAGTTTGATTACAAAATTTGAGGGGAGAAAAAAAAGAAAAAGATTTGGATCATAATTTTAATGAGTCTGCTTGAAAAACTTATTTCCAACGTGCATATCTGATCTGCTGGGGGTGTCGAAGATGCTTGATTCGAAAGAGCGGAGTCTTGGGTCGGTGTCCTAGCAGCCTTTCCCGGTAACGGGATATCATGGGCCGGTAATGTGAGTACTTGGCCTGGTAGCGAGGGATCAGGAGCTGGTAGGGTGGCCGTTGTGGCCACTGGGCCATTTGCGGCTGCTGGAGCCGGATACTTGGCCGGGGTACCTGCTGCCACTTTAGGGCCGAACCAGGCTGCTGGGGTGCCTGAGCCACCTGTGCCCATTTGAGTTCAGCTCTAGGCTGCTGGTGCACCTCTGCAAATTGTAGCTGTTGGAGAGGGGATTGATGCATTTGGATTAAATCCAGCCGCTGGTGTGATGAACCAGGCTCCTCTGGCACCCACAGCTGCTGAGATGGAGAGTAGAACTCTGGGGATACCTGGGACACCTTAGGCACCCCCAGCCGGTTGAGTGGAGAACGGGGCTGCTGTGGTACCTCCAGCTGCCAAAGTGGAGGACTACGCGGCATTGGCACCTGCAAGAGCACCTGTGATGGGCATGTAGTCTCATTGGGTGGGGAGGTAGGTGGCGGCACCTGGGGCTCCTGTGACTGCCTGGATGAGAAGGTACGCTGCTGTTGGAGCACCTGTACCTGAAAACCAGACTCCACTTCTTTAAGTGGAGGTTCAGTATTACTTAATGAATACTGGAGATCTGGCAAAGACCCATTTTGTGCCAGTGTTTCGGCTTCAGGCTGATAATCCACTGTTACTGTTGTGCTGTAGTTACTCTCATTCAAGGTTGAATTATAGTTATCAAGTATCCCACTGGTCCCCAATGTCTCATTTTTAAAGTAAACGCTTAAATCCAGTTGATCATCCGTATGGGCTAATTCTTGATCTGTGAGAGAACATTGGAATATGTTAGACAAAAATGTTGGTGCATAAAATTATCAAATTTTATTTGCTTACCATTTTCTTGATGACTTTTGACAGCTAGCAAGAACAACAGCAACCATCTAGACAAAAGAGACTATAAGCTTTAATAGTGACATTAAAAATATGTTTGATTTAACTTTAAAAAAAAACTTCTTTAAGGCTTGCCTTAATATAAACATCATAGCTACAGGAAGCAGCAAAGACAGACACTTCTGTCAGCTGCTACCAAACTATGGACCTCGAAACTAATGAACAGACAGTAAGTCAGCGAAACTCTTTGCAGAACTTTATTTTCTTACCTTCTTGCTTAATTGGCCAGCTGTGTGACTACTTGAAGCCAGGTGAAGCTAATTAAGAAACCAGCGAAGCACAATGAGGCACTGCAGGCAGATTTAAGCAACACTCTGCCAACCTTCAGTTCAGCTTTCTTCAAATGTTTTATCAGGGTTGTTTGAAATGAAGCAGACCTGCGTAGTGTTCAGATTTCTTAATATTTATATTTAATATATTTTTATATCTAAAATCTGTTTGTTTTTAAAATCAGTATTTTAGTAAATTAAAATTTAATTTTAATGCATATTTATTTTTAATTTTTATTTGATATTTTAAATATTTTATTTACCATTGTGAACAAATAAAAACACATCATCAACATTTAAATTTCAGTATTTAGATTCATCACTTAATTATTAAAACAAACTTTTAATGTTTACAGTAATATTTTTATATTTGCATTATTTTTAATACAAACATGTTAAATTTAAAATATGCATTTAATATTTACATTTAACTATAAAAAAATTATATTTGTAAAATGCATAGAATACTTTCAAATTGTGATTTAAAATGTATACTTTATATTTAAGAATTCAAATTGTTTATTTATATTAAGTGTATATCACTTTTATTTACACGTCACAATTTTTGTTATTTGTTTTTAATTTCCTACATATTTTACATAAATATTTATAATGTCATATTTGGATTTACCATTTTAATTTATATTCATACTTAATAAATTGACATTTCTATTTAAAGTTTAGATTAAAATGTTTGCAAATATAGCTATAAATCTGATCAAAACTTCAAAAATTTGTCAAAATGTCGCAGTTTTATTTCAGCATTTTATTTCGGTTTACCGTTGGAGCTCAAACGGACTACATTTCCCAAATGCAACAATGTTACGAAATTCTTAAGCTACTTCCTTAGGAAACATTTCAAAATAAGATGTATGTTTCCAGCGTAACGTCCTATCTTTGTGAAAAGATCCCTGCTCTCTGCATAGAGCTTTAATTTTGAAGCCGGGGTCATTCCTCCCATTCTCGTCGATCTCTGGCGGAGGCAGCGACCGCTCAGGACCGTGTGGGAGGGTTAATCTCGTTTCAACCGTGGACGCGATGAGGCTCCGTTTGGCCGGAGCCGTGCTGCTGTCAGCGGCCGCCTACTACGTCTACCTGCCGCTACCGAGCGGAGTTAGCGAGCCGTGGAAACTGATGTTGCTGGACGCGCTTTTCCGGAGCTTCATGAAGGCGGTGAGAGCTGACTGATGACTGACAGGAGGGCAGAAAAGGGCAGGTTGATGTGAGGAAAGACAGGGCTGTTAGGATCACAACACCTGAAGCACGAAACCGTGCAGGTGAACGGATGATATGAGAATCAGGGTTTATTTTATAGCAGATCCGAGGTCGTGCAGAGAGAAGGAAGTTCCTGGTTAAAATGAAGCCTGGTATGGCGAATGAGGCAAAATAAAAATGTCTGTAAAAGCCAAATCTAAACAAGAATAAAAATATGGTTTTAGTCTCAGCCAGTATCTATTCTCACCTTCTAAAATCTCGCCTTTGACGAATGTGTACTATAATCTAATGATTAAAAAGATCTAACTCTACACTGAAATTGATAACGTCAAGACAAAATCACAACAACCACAAGAAACAAAACAAATACAGAAATGGGACGAGAAATAAAAGGTAACTAGAAAATATACAATTAACTTAAGTCTGTTCATAGGTTCAACAGGTTAATTGAGAGGATAAACCCAGAAGTTTTAGGAAGTCTTGGGGTTATTTTAAAGCTTGCTTTCATCACTAAGATGGCCTTTCTGTCTTCTTGTTTATGCATTCATTCATTGTTCTTTCATTACTGGCTCCTACAGAATCCTTGTATATGGCACTTAAAATAGATTTGCTCTCTCTGTCCTGATTGCAGTTTTAAATCTGAACGGGATCCAGAGAGAAAAACTCTTAATGCAATTTTTGCAATTTATGTTCCCAGAAAATCCCACCAGGTGGCTGGACTTGACTGCAGCCATTATTAAAACAAAACATTGATTTTTGTGCTGCATTTTTTTCAAACTATCCTCGTTTTGCCTTTCAGCGCATCCCTTTCACTCATATTTAAATACGCTCCTTATGTATTTGTTTAGTCATTACTAATTTTGTTTACTATTTGTTTACTATATTGGCCAGAATGATTATAGTGAGCATTAGTGCAATAATGCACAGCAACAACTTCGTTTTTTTTTGTTTTTTTTTGTTTTGTTCTTTACACAGAACAAGGAGTTTGTTGGTTTAATTTTTGATTAAACGGTGTGAAAATTTTGAAAATTCATATTTGTTGTTGTTATTATTATTATTATTATTATTATTATTATTATTATTATTATTTAATTATAGGTGTTTTTTAGGGGGGAATTTTTGGAATTTGAGATTCCAACTAACCACAGCAATAACACCTCCTCAGGCTGGTTGTCGTCACCATTTCAACACATTGGCAAAGACTAAATCTGAAGACTTTCACCTCACCTTATCTGGGAAACTTTGTCCTACACTTGAGTAAACCAGAACTTTCACAGGAGAATCAGAACTACTGCATGAAGCTTCTTTCACAAAGGGTTGTTGATAAATCTGCATATTCGATTTGGCAGATTTTAACCTGATCCTGACAGTTTTTCCAGGGAAATTAATTATAAACTATATTATATATATTAGAGTTTTTCCTCCATACAGAAAATATTGGCACTGACCAAACAGGTTTTGGCTTTCCATCAATGGAAAAGTACAAATCAGCCACAGTCCTTCAATCTGTATTCAGGGAATAACATAAAAAGGACCTTTAACTAGGCAGGCCACATGCCACAGAGCTGTAGCTCACCTGCATTGCTTCACATTTAATTAAACACCACACAGTTTACACGTCCACAGCTTGAGTGACGAGTTTCCATGCGTGTTCCCCACATTGAACAGGTTTTCACGCCCTGCTGGTTTCTTACCTTCAGGTCCTGTCACTTTGAGCACAAAGAGACAAATGGTTCTCTTTGTGTTTTGGAGACTGCAACCCCAAACCTGTGGCGTTCCAGTTCAAACTAAATCAGTTCCCTTAGAAAACTGTGAATATTATTACAAAAATGCATTATTAAATCTCTTTGCAACCGCAGAAAAAGTCCAGATTAAAATTTTCTGGATGTGTAATTTGAGGACAATCGCTGTGCCTGATGGTGGGAATGATTATCGGGTTACACTGTAAACTGATTTCAGGGAATAGGCGAATGGTGCCACACAAGCTTAACTAATGATCTGCTCTGCTTCAGAGCAGAGCTCTAGCTAAACCTAAAAAATCTTTTAAGACTGGTGAAAGTGTCAGATGAGGTCGTGTAGGCAAACCCTGTGCTAACCCCCTGCATGCTCAGTCCAAGTGTGACGATCTAAAGCCAAAATCGTGGTTCTGTAACCAGCTTTGAGCATCAGTATTATGGGATTTATCATAGTTTCAACTGCAAACCTGCAATATTTCAATGTTTGTGATGGAGACCAACAGAATCCACAGAAGAGAACTGCAAAAAGTACTTGAAAAAATTTCCTTGAGCACAAAATATAAAAGTTATTTCTTTTTTAAAATTTCCAGAGTGATGTAGCTCATGCGATGGGCGTGTGCCACCGCGTCCACGTGTTGAACCGGGTGGTGTCCTGGGTGGAGGTGATTGAGGCTCGCTCCAGCCCCGCCGTGAACGTCACGGACTCCGCGCTGGGAGGCGTGCCCACCCGGGTGTTTCATCCCATCGGAGGGGAGAAGCTGAAAAGAGGAGTTATTTATTTCCACGGTGGCGGCTGGGCCCTCGGCAGCGGACGTGAGTGCGGTGCATAAGAGGCTTTGGACAACCGTAAAGCTGCTGACGGTTAAACAAATCCAATCAACTTAAGTCTGTTTTTAAGCCTATTTTTCTGCTGGTTTCAGTGTTTAGATCTCACTGTGACAACGTGAGCTTGTTAAACACAGTCTTATATGAAGGGGGAACTTTTTTCTCACATTAGGAGCAAACACTGCTTTTCTTTTTGGGCTAAAGTTCATTTTTGTATGAAGATGCTATCATCTTCATACCCGTGTCATCATCACTGAGCCTCATTTATTCGGTGTGTGGTGCTTTCATTGCCTAAAGACTTGCTGTATTTAGTTTGTGAGCATATTGTAGCTTCTACCTCCAGTATTTTACAGAAATAACTTAAGTTTTTATTCGTTATGAGTCAAAACAGATGACTGAATCAATAAAGTCATAAAGTCACAGGTCAAATGATCTGAAAGTCATATTCCCAAAGACTTTACTACTACAGGAAGTTATACGAGCAGCCATATGAGTCATCCTCTGCTGCCCAGGAATGCTGAGACTTCTAAATCTCGTGGTATCGAGTATAATGTAATACCAACTAATCCTAAAATGAATTTGCAATATATTACTGTAGCCTTACTGTAACTTCAGCATCGGTCACTGTTTATGTGCTTCACAGGAATGCGCTCCTATGACCATCTTTGCCGGAAGATGGCGGAGGACCTGGATGCCGTCATTATGTCAGTTGAGTAAGTTTTGGGCGTCGCTCACGTGAATCTAGAAGGAACAAACCTCACATTGAAGCTGCAGGTGGTGGATTTTTATGTAAAAGGTTTGAAGACAACAAGTTATGCTTTTCTCTTGTTGTTTAGCCAATCGTAGCAATGACAGCTGATTGTTTCATTTTGATCTGAAAGTCAATTATTGACGTTTTCAGACAGCATGTTTCAAACTCTTCCCAAAGGAGGAAAACTGGGTGAAAGTTTTCAAGAGTTTTTTTTTTTTTCTTCCATGTTTAGCATCAAGGCCCGTTTGTGACCTTGGAAACAGTCTGCAGCAGTCTGCCGCACAGACTCATTTATCATGGACGTGGTTTAGCTGAAGGCCATGTGATGTGGCTGAATGTGCTCAAAACATCAGTGAAACTTGTGATGAGATTATGGTCAAAGATTGTGCCACTCTAGGCTGATGTCAGTATTTGAAAGACCTGTTTACTCACAGATATTTAAGGGGTGTGTGTAAATTTACTCTTCTGTTATTTTAGTTTACCCTTTTGGTAAAAATCCGCCTGAAGTTTCTGTCCTGTCTTGACATGAGAAAGATTACACAGGAAAAGATTACTCTTTCAAATCAGTTTGCCCCCGCTGGTGACTCTCTCCTCTTAATGGAGAGTTTCTGGACTTGGATTCTTCCTTTTGTTTTTCTTCTTTATCCAAATCCATCTTCATATGCTCTCCTCTTCAGCACTGCCAGAAAGGCTGCTTACTGCAGAGCCCCTGGTCTAGCCCAGCTCTGCCTTTAAACCCATCTACATCCCTGCCACAGCCTTTAACCAGGCCCAGCTCAGCCTGTTTGACTCTGCAGTAAGCACCTACTGAAATCACTGTTCACCCCAGCAGCTAGCTCAGGAGTATCATCACAGATGAAGGATTTAAAACTTTAATATTCTGTGAAATACAAAGAAAGTCAACATTTAATATTACAGATGTTCATTTTTACCTCCAGTTTTAGCTTTTTCTGACTATTTTTTTAATTATCGTCATTATAACACCTGAGTATAATATTGCTGTCATGTTAAATTGTCCGTTTGCTGTAGCTACCGTCTTGCTCCAGAGGCCGTGTTCCCAGATCAGTACCATGATGCAATAGCGGCGTCGCGGGCCTTCCTGTCCACTGAGGTTTTAGAGCACTACAGCATCGATCCCGAGAGGGTGTGTGTGTCGGGAGACAGCGCTGGAGGAAACCTGGCTGCCGCTGTGGCGCAAAAGGTAGAAAAACAAATGCATACATAGAAGGAGAAGCGGTTTTGGGGTAGTTTGCTACTGTTTCTACTTTCTGTTTACGCAGAATACACACGTTTCTGTTTGTTTATCTCTTGAAATGATTACCTGGTGTAAGCGACCCTGTATGTAAAGGGCAGCAATGGGCACATCTTAGTGTTCTTCTATTTTTGGCTGCTCCCTTGAGTGGGTGCCACAGTGGGTCGTCCGCCTCTATCACATCCAGTTCTGTCCCACCAACCCTCTGCATGTCCTCCTTCACTCCTTGACATCATTACAGCCTGGTTTAACCAGCCTATCACAGCTGAGACGGTGGAAACTGTCAGAAGACACCAGCTGTGTTCAGAAACTAACCTCATCAGCTTGAGTTATTACACAGGTGACACAAGGCAGCATGTGGACAGTTTGAATCAGGTTTGTCCTAAAGTGCCCTTCCCCTGCTAAAAGCAGAGCATTTACAGTGTGCAGGGTCGGGAAGAGCGCAAGCGAGTAAGCTGCGACTGTGACTGTAGGACAACTTCATTTTAAGCATGCGTTATCACATTATCTTAGAATCCATAGAAATCAATGTTAATGTTTCCTATTTCTGAAAGGAGAAAAAAACATTGGCCTATATTGATATTGGTGTCAGTCAAAAAAAAGAAAATTGGTCGGGCTTTAAATATCAGGCAAAAAGCTGCCACCGAATATTTTTTGTAAGGACTGAAATCTGGTGTTTCTGAGTGTTTTTCCTCTGAATTAAAATCTAAAGCTTGCGTGTGTCCACAGCTCAGCTCAGATGACACCCTGAAGGTGAAGTTCAAGGTCCAGGCGCTGATCTACCCCGTGCTGCAGGCGCTCGACTTCCACACCCCATCCTACCAGCAGAACCAGGCCGTGCCCATCCTCTACAGGCCCGTCATGGCTCGCTTCTGGCTGCAGTACCTGGGCGGCAACACCTCCTTGGAGCCTCTCCTGCTCGCCAACAACCACAGCTCTCTGGACGAGTCGAGCATCAGCGCCGAGACTCGCTCGAAGCTGAACTGGACCGCTTTGCTGCCGACTGAGCGCAGGAAGCACTTCCGGCCGGTGCTTAAAGAAACCGGGTCACCTGGTGTGGTGGGCGAGGTGCCGGGGCTCACGGACGTGAGGGCGTCGCCGCTGCTGGCGGAGCAGGGCGTTCTGGGTAGGACGCCTAAGGCGTACGTGATGACTTGTGAGTTTGACGTGCTCAGGGATGACGGCTTAATGTACGCCAGACGTTTGCAGGACGCTGGCGTCACGGTGACCAGTGACCACTATGAGGACGGCTTTCACGGCTGCATGGTGTTTGCGTATCTGCCGATGATGTCGAGCGTGGGACGGAGGAGCATGAACAACTACATCCGCTGGCTGGACCAAAATCTGTAGGAAAAAAAATCGTAGTTTCCACTTTGTGGTATGAAAGATGAGCTGGGGCAGAAATCTGGGATGACTCGAAAAAAACATGATCATAGCTGTTAAAACATCCCAGCTTGAGCCAAGAAGGTCAAAGGTTAGATCCACTGTGTCGATGCGGAGGCGTCCGTTTAGCACATTAAAGTTTAAAACCACTGGACCTATAAATCTACAATCAAACACGCCACCGCACATCCTCAGTGTGTCCTGACACCAAAACGTCTTCAAGCAACTGTGACCAAAGAAAGTTTTTATATAGAAACATCTATATAATTAATGGCAAACTTATAAAGACAGGTTTTATACTTATCACCTTTATTTATTAGTTTTAAAATGGAAACGAGTAGAAAACTACAAATATAAACATATAAGAAACTTCTTTATACAATAATATTCGCTGAAAACCCCTAAAGCTTAACACATTGTGCCATAGCAGCATACAACAGTCTTGTGATTCGCTGGCAGGTGATTCATTAAAACAAACGGCTAACGCTGCAGCAGTTTTGGCCCACAGTGTAATTACTGCTGTCAGTTAGTGGGTCAGTGCAACAGCAGGAAAACTAAGAGCGGCTCTTGTTTTACTCAGCAGTAAAGCAAATTATCATAATTCGGCATCATCACTGCCAGATGCACAGCTACACGGCGGTATTTTTGCTCCACAGCTCCGCCCATAAAAGTCAAAAGTCAAACCTGGTTTAAATTGGGCCGATCTAACCCTTCAAGGTCGCCTCCTCAGGCAGCGATCAGTTAGATTGCTCCCCAGGAGTCCAATTCTGACCATTTGGACTTTTCTGCAATGCTCTCTGGATCTACTCCACTGTGTGAAAATGGGGACCTTAGAACTTGAATGGTGGTGAGTAGAGTAGCTGATGATTAGAAACCACCAAACCATGTGGCTACTAAAAAAACGCTTTTAAATGCTTTGAGTCAGCACAGTTGTAACCCTCAGGAGATTATCGTAGAGTTTGCATGATTGCAGTCTGCCACGGGGGAGAGATTCACGGTGTATAACCCCGTGAGTGTCGTAAAAAATGACAAGCTTGCTCCTGTGTGTGGTTTCAACTTCCACTAAAACCGTTTAATTTCTGAGTCTTAACTTAAAACCTTGTCGTACGCCACTTTGTAGCTGACGGTCAGTGATTAGGGGATGTTTCAGGCTTAATTTATCCCTCTAATGTCAGCCGCAGTCAGCTGTATCATTAGTAGCCACTTTAGTCACTCAAACTAAAGATACATTTAAATCTGGACCTGCTAATGTGCAAACTTGTGAATTTCACTGACATTTTCTCATGTCTGGTCACCGCATCCCTGCTAGTTCTCATCTTAATATCTGATCTCAGTGATGCTAAGAAGTACAAATCAGTTAAATGTGAATCAAAGGTTTGATATTTATCATAGTCAGGTATGCTTTTTGATTTTTATTAGCAAAGTTCCTCTGAAAACGATATAAAATATACATATTAACACTCAGACTTGAGAAAACACTGGATACTAAATATTGAATTATTATTATTTTGTTATTTTTTTTAAACACGGCCGAGGTGGTGAAAAAACGTTTTATTTAGTTTAAGAAGTGCAAGAAGAAACGACACAGCCACAGCTTAACCGTGCTGAAGGATAATCTGTGGCTTATTTCCAACATTTCCTGCCATCAGTTGCATTTTCTCTGGGTCGTTTTAACCCTCAGAGGCCTAAATATTCCAGCTGCCCTGCTCCCAACCTAAAGCCTGTAATTTACAGGATAAACAAACAGACTTCTGTGACAAGAAATGAAACAGTTCTTCTTTAACGTTAGACCGTTTAGTGCGTTTTTACTTGATTGCTGTGAGTTAGGCTTTTTTAAAAGCAGAAAATCACACGTTCTGATGGCTGATAACTTAAACCTCGCAAGTTTGATAACAAAGTGACGTCATTTGCTGCAAATTGGGGTTTTTTTTTTGCAGCAGGAAGTTTGACTTTTTGGGTGACATTCAGGATTGAAATGACTGAAAACATTCGATTTCATTTTCAGCATAATTATGAAGAGAAACGACAACAGGCCCAGCTGGCCTGTAGTACGGCTCAAAATTCCTCAGATATGATGTTTTATGATGTAACGAGACACTGAAGACACACACACACACAAAGCCAGACAGTCGGGCTTAGTGTGTGTGTGTTGTAAAAGTATGTCAGAGTTCACAGCTGTGTATACTCACTGGGTTGTGCAATAATGTATGTCTCAAACTGTCTCTCAATCTCTGTAACTTCACTCTCAGATGACCACTGGACCACGGGGCCAATGCAATGATGAACGCTGTGAATTATTACTTTTTAAACAAGAGTAAAATTGCTCTATCGCCACGAGAGAATCGGTCCCAAGCGGAATATCACGTTTCCCGCTCGCCCGGTGCTGCTGGCTCAAAACAAATATAATGAACTGACGGCGGTGAATGACTCGCTGTTGGCGTTCAGCCCGACTGGAGCAGGAACGCCGAGCTGAGGGTGGTCATTACACCCCTCGAATTATTCCACAGAAATGTAATTTTCTTTCTCTCCTTTAAAGGAAATGATTCCAGACGTCTTATTTCTAACATGTGGCTTTTATTCACGTACATGTATAATGGTATAACTCATCTATAAATTAGACACGCGGGCTTGCGGTAAAGTAAGTCTGAGTGCTGTCATTTTAATTCTGTATGTGAAATTATGCGTTTAATGGGTTCACATTGTATAAATAAGGTTTTAATGCGAGTCGGGTTATGCAACAGGTTGTTTCAGGCGAGCCGATATGGAAAACCGGGCCCAGATGTGCTCCTGCAGTGCTGGTAAATCTCGTAAAGGAGCTGTTTTATTGGCTGCTGTCACAACTGTGCAGGGAGGATGAAGAGGTTTCCTTTTATGTTATCTATGTTTTTATTTCCACTCTGTGCTTGTTGTAATCTGGGTTTTAATTTTCTGTCCGTGCACGTGTCAGTGCGGGAGAGCCGTGACACTCCTGGATAAGTTTTTAAGCTGTGCTCAGCAGCACCGGGTAGAAGAGCAACATAATGGTTTGTTATCTACATCTGCTGTTATTCAAAAAAGCCAAGATCCAGACCCATAAATCATTTATAACTTTACTGATGTTGATATGACTGCAGCTGAAATTCAGGTTCAGGTTTTGGTAACACTGTGCTTTAATTAACCGTCCTGCTGAGCATGTAAAAGCAGCATAGAAATGATATCAGACACAGTGAAGTACTACTGTCAGAGTGCTTTTTAAACTGTTTTTTCTGGCATATCGCTCTTCAAGTCACAACCCATATGTTTTTGACCATTAAAGGTACTGTACTGGGCAAAAGTCTCAAGCCATTTCTTCGTAAAAAGTGGAAAAATGTGCAGTGATTTATTGAAAAATGTGGCGTTACAGTATATCAGGCAAAAACCGAGTTTATACAATTCGATATCTTGGTGTGACCACCTTTATTCTTCAACACAGCCTGAACTTTCTGAGCAGCCTGACCGCCTCCGCACACGCTGACGATGATTTCAATCAAAATGGAAAATTTGGATTCCCTCCATTTGACCTGTCGCCCTGATTTTCAGTCCAGTTCTTGTGTAATTTGACTTACCACAGCCTTTTCTCCTGTTTCCCCTCCTTAAGAATGGCTTCTTGACAGCCACCCTTCCACTGAGACCATTTCTGATGAAGCTTGTGTGATTGAAGGGCCAGATGCCGATCTCAGGTCCTGTGTCAGGTCTCTGCAGGAGTGGTTTTTCCTTCTCCTTAAGGACACGACTTCCACACACTGTTCATCTGCTGTAGATAATTTATTAAGCCTGCAAGTGCTTCTTTTGTTCTGTCACTAAGTTTCCAGCTAATAGCTCTTTGGGATCTCTGCATCACCATGTTAATGTAAAATTGCATTTCTTTTGCCTGCCAAACTGTTTTATTTGTGACATTTTTGTAGACTCAGCTGAAAAATTTGGAAATTTGTGACTCTAAAGATACAGTTCAAAATTGATTCTTTGCCAAGTTATCTGCTGTGTGCAGACACCACTGATTCATCCCTTGAGTTGGGTATCTTTGTTTTGCTTAAGTGATAAGGAGCGGAACAAACAAGTACAGGCACTGGACTGAAGGTGTGGGAAAAAGCAGTCAGTGTCCAGAGAAAAAATTTGAAAGACTACCAGAAAGTGTGGAGAACTACAACCCAAGACCACTTTAAAAATTTCAAGAATGTCTGACACCTTGGAAGGAAATATAAAGAAACAAGGGGTAGCTTGACACATTTTCACAGCACTTCAGTCATAGAATTCTTTTATTTTAAATCTCCTGCAACATTCACCTAAACTATTATCAGGATGTGAAACGATAACTGCTGTGACTTTGTCAAAAAATCTATCGATCTGAAGAAATGTCAAGTCGTGCTGAACTTGGGCTCCAGTTTACTTTTGTGTAATACCAGTTTTTACCACAAGATGGAGCAGTGAGTCAGTGTAACCTTTTTTTAACCAAGTAATTAAAAACATGTTCTTATTTACCATGGCAGGAAAAGAAGAAACATCAAGACCTTTACACTTCAGAAAACATGTCACGCACCTGCTGGTTAAATACTGCCACCTGGTGGTCACAGTTACAGTTAAAAGTTCTGTAGACGGTGTTGGCAAAAACACAAACGCAACACTTCAATTCCTCGGTGCTGGTGCCGCTCCTACCTTTCGCCGCTCCTGCTTTTCATTACCATCGACTGGTTGAGGTGTCAAACAACATGTGACCGTCCACGATGCGTCCAACGGAGGATGTTTGCACAAATAGAAGATCTTAACGGCACAGATGATCTGGCAGTAATTTCAATAACAATATACTCGTCTCCAAGTGAAGATTGACAGACTCTTCGACTACGCTAAGAAAACAGAAGAATGAAGTGATGTTAATTTTCTTTTTCAAACTGCTTTATTTTCATTACTACACTTACAACTGAGTCAGACAAAATAAGACAAGACAAGCAGAAAAATGGAAAACTAAAACAATTTGAGACCATCATCATTATCCTATTCTAATTCTCATCATCATCATTTCAACAGCAAATCATCATCACATTGTCTTTATTATTATACACACAGGTAATTATATAACAAAGTCATAATATATGCGGTTATAGTATATAATATATATAATCGTAAACTACAGTTTAGAGGGATAATAGTAATAAGGAAAAAAGAACAAATAGTCCAGTCAAAGGTCAGATTTCCTCAGTTTTAAAGTCACTATTACTTTGCTGTTACTCATCTCACAGTTGCACAGCTCTGAGTCGCCTCTAGACCTGATCGGAGGGGCCAGCACAGCGCCCACATACACCAAAAACAAAAACAGGCCCCACACCGCTTCATGGAGGGAGCCTGTTACTGAGTAGTCACCAGTGTTGGGAATGACACTGAGGAAGGCTTTGGACCTGCAGCTTTAACTATGGGGTACAGATACACAGACACAACACAAACGCATGCAGTAAGAGAGGGGGGTGGGCAACGAACTGCTCCCAGGGTGTGAAATGATGATGAATTATGATTAAAAAAAACAACTACCCAACTGTTTTTTAATAAACAACAACAAAAAATATATTTTTAAATGTGTGCTCCCGACACAGGGAAACCCAATTCTGCAGGGGAGACCTACCTCGGCACTTGTGCAGGTGAAACCAAAGGGAAGATATGCTTCACCATATTTTCTACTCTTTGGCTTAGAATGAAGTTGTTTGTAATGGCTGTAATGGCTCTGCGCCCCCCCCTAGGGGGCGGGCCCCACACTTTGGGAAGGTCTGTGCTAATGCTCATCTGCCTCACAGTTCAATGCGTTGTCTGTTTAGAGATGCTCTTTTGCGTAACTTCATGTAACAAAGGGTTACTTGAGTTGCTGTTGTGTTCCCGTCAGCTCAAAGCTGTCTGGGTATTCTCCTCCAACCTCTGGCATCAACAGAGAACTGCCCCTCATTGCATATGTTATCCTCATTAAATAAGCTCTGTTATGTGATTCTAAAGACAAGGTTCAAGTTGCATTGATGGGGTAGACTTCAGACAGTGTGGAAATGACCTCATAGCCCTTCCCAGTTTGATGGGCAGCTTTTCTAAGATCATTGCTGATGTCTTTTCTCTGTGTCATACCTGAATGGTCCTCACCAGCAAAACTGCCCAAACTGCTGCTTTTATAGATGTTTTCACATTTGCTGGTGATCAGATAATCAGGTGGAATTAATTAGCAGGACCCAGCTTCTACTTACCTTACTACTTTTTATGCAAACAGTGAGGGTGTACTTCATTTTTCACATCTGTATGTGTGTTGCTTTTACCCTTAAATGTCCATCATGAGCCAACAGTAAGTCTGATATTCACATTTAATTATTGTTATTAGGAGCCTAGATTACACTCATTAGTGATATTAAAAATGAAATAGGGGGTTATTTATTATGATTGGAATATTTGAAATAACAAAACAAATATTCCGGAGTGATTTAATTAGACTTTACATAATTATTTATTCAGTTAATTCGCTATGGATCACACATTCATAAATTATAGTCACTAAATTAGCATTTATTATAATTGCCTATAATGTACTTATTTTATTCTTCATCCCACTGCTGTCATTTCTAAGTAAGTAAGCGCGTATGTCTATTACACGTATTCTAAATCTTTCAAATATACAGCATGCACGTGCTAGCACTTATTTTTTAGCAGCGTTTAATGAACTGGTATTGAATTTCACAATAAAAGTCTACCACAGGAGATGGCGTCAAATCCTCCAATGCACGCAAACCTTCAGCCAGTAAATCCACCGTTACGCATATGGGTTGATGTTATTTATCACTACCATATTTCTAGAAACGATGTAAAACCAAATTGTTCTGTTGTGAATGTGATAGATTTGCACTTCAATATTTTTTAATTCCTCGACTTAGTTTTTAAGACCGATTTTGATCAGTGTCTCTTATTTGACATTTTGGAGAGTAAAAACATGTGCAGAGCGAGAGACTTGTGCCAGACTTTCTCCATCTGTCATCCGGGTGAAAAACTGGCTTCAGTCTGAGCCGATCTCACACTGGATATCAAAGAAATAGGTTGGCTTCCCATCCCAAGGTTTCCTTGTTCGTTTGTTTTTTCTTCTTCAAGTCAAAGCTTGCAAGGAACCGGAAATTCATCAGGTGCTTGTGTGACAGTAAACAACATGCCTGCCTGGTCATGTGATCAAGAAATGGCAAAACTATGCTTCTCCCTGACAAACAGGTCTTTCTGTCTTTGCATGCTATGAACAACCAAACCTGCATCATCAAGCCTGCAATGAGCACAGCTGAGGAGGGATTCAGGAGATCCCCGCTGATGAAAAGCATGAAGGAATCAGAGGGGAAAAGATTGTATAACATTACACTGCAAGGCAGCAATGTCTCTAACACAGGTGGGTCTTTTTTCTTTGAAGATTTATCGTATTTCACTGCCAAAATGTGAATTATGACTCTTTCCTGTTGTCTTTTCTAAACACGTTTTAATTTCAGTTAGCTGCTATTCAATTCAATTCAGTTTTATTTACCTAGCGCCAAATCAGAACAACTATCATCCCAAAGGTGCTTTACATTGTAAGGTACAGACCCTCCTGCTGCACAGGATCTATGGAGAGCTAGAAAGGAGAAAAGTTTAAAAAGCTGCTCTTTCTTAAGTTTAGATGTGGTCGGTTTCCTTCAAGTGACCCAGCGGTGTAATTTATGATACCAGCTATATTTTTATATGTATCATTGTGATATTCCCACACAGTCTCACAGCAGGTAGTTACGACCTTTAATTTATAGATTTGAATTTTACAGTTTTTCCTGTCACTGAATATGATTTTTGTTCTGCCAACTGACATTAACATAAAATAAATCATTTCATTGCTCACACCAGGGACCCGAGATTGAGCCACACATCATTTTTTATTATTTTTAATAAATAATCCATTGAATCCATTACTTGGTTTGGTTTGGATATCAAAAGTGCCTCGGTTAGGCTTAAAAAAGATCTTTGTTTGTGTTAAAATGCAACGCTTGCCGCTTCTTGTAAACTTCGGTTTTCTTGGTGGCGCGTCCGTCCCCGCTTTGTCTGGACCACATATGTGCTGCAGACATGAAATATACTTCCTTTTGAAAATACGTGAGATTCAAAATCTTGCTGATTGTCACACAACAGTCCATGACAGTTCGTACTCATGAATATAAATGGATAAATTAGGTTTCATTTCACATTTTGCCATCTGACTAGGATGGGTATTTTATTTCAATAATAAATACATTTCCCATCATTAATTTGCCTCTACTGCGTTTCAGGG